ACAAAATAAATACATGACATAAAATATAAAAAATACAAACTTGATAATAATAATCTTTATTCATCCTTTAAGATCATACACATGATTTATGACAAGTCATAAGATGTATATACACAGACATATATAGATACACATAACTATATTACTTTAAAAATATCGTCCATACATGAATTAGCAAAATATTCATTGATGTCATAAAAGCAGGACTCCACTAAATATTTTTTCAATCTTGTTTTGAATTTATTAATATTTGTTTCGTTGGGAAATGATTGAAAAATCGAATTCCATTATATTTAGAACTGCTTTCGTAAAGTGATGTACGGTGCTTTATACTTCTGAATAAGTCACCATGCCACGTAGCATGGTCATGAGAGTCAGAATTTTTTGAGAAGCTCTTGATGTTGAGTTTAGCATATGTTACAGTTTTATAAATGTAGATCGATGGTACCGTTAGTAATTTAAACTTTTTAAAATGATTCCTACACGTCATTCGGTAATCTAAGCCAAAGATTAGACGAATAAGTCTTTTTTGACTGATGAAAACTCTGCGAGCATTGACCGTACTTCCCCAAAGGAAAATACTATAAGAAATATGTGAATATGAGAGAGCATAGTATACATTTATTAATTGCTCTAGTGTGAATTTATTTTTCAGTTGCAAAATTGCATAATAACTACTATTGAACCTCTTACACACCTGATCAACATGTGTATTCCACTTCAAATTTACATCTGAATATGTGCCCAGAAATTTTATTGAATCCGAAAAATATATATTTTGTTGTTTACGCGAACAAAATAGTCATTTGAGATTTTTGTACGAGAATAAAACTGTAGACATACTATTTGTCAGGATTGACAATTAAGGAATTGTCACTACACCAATCAGTAAATTTTTTCGACAAATTATTCATTTTCTGCACAAGTTCTTCTGGGGTTTCAGCATCAGTGGCGATTGTCGTATCATCTGCATACAAAAAAAAGGGTTCAGTGCTCAAATAATTTGGTAAATCATTGACGTACAGAAGAAAAATCAAGGGACCCAAAAGTGATCCTTGAGAAACCCCTAAATTAACATCAAAAAGTTGAGATCTTCAATCATCCACTTTTACGCAAATTTTCCGATACTCAAGATAAGATGCGCGCCACGACAAAAAATTTCCCCGAAATCCCAGTACAGATAATTTGCCCAGAGCAACATTAATATTGACAGAGTCAAATGCTTTAGAAAGGTCAAAGAAGAGTACCCCAACAAACCTTCTGCGATCCAATGCAGTATGGATGTAATCGAGAAAAACCACCGAGGAACTCTCCGTCGATCTTCCAGGGCGAAATCCATGTTGATGCCTGCTTATAACATTACGTATAGCAATTTCACAAATAAAACATTAAGAAGACAGATGAGTTTAGGTGAACATTACAGCATACTGCTTCCCTTAAACAGGTGACAGTTAATATTTTGTGGCTGATGAATAAAGGCTTGCAGGGATCTCTCTGGCTTAGACTTTGTAAGGTATCTCAAAGACCTCTTCTGTAGCTTAAATATCGTATTTTGTAACTGTGATTTACAATGGCCCCAGAAAGCTATTCCATAGCGAATATGAGATTCGATCAATGCAAAGTAAGTCATTCTAGCTGTAGTGTGCCCTAGTTCATTTGATATCACTCTAATAGCATAACATCCACTAGATACTTTTTTACTCAGATGAAATACATGTTCTTTAAAATTCAATTTATTGTATATGTGTGCTGTTTGTTTTCTATGTAGTGGTTATCCAAATCTAAATCGTCTAGTATACATTTGAAAGTAACTAGTTTTGTTTTGTTTAGGTTGAAGCACAAGGAGTTTGCGTTACACCAGGCTTGAATTTGTTGAATATCCATTTTTATCGTATTTGATAGCTGATTAATTTCTTTATTACTTCATATAATAGTGGTAACGTTGGCAAATATAGTGAATTGTACTGCGATGTTAATGGTTATTAGGTCATTTAGGTATATTAAAAATAACATTGGTCCTAAAACATACCCCTGAGGTACTCCATGTTTTATGTCACTGAGATCAGACTGTCCACTTGATGTTTTCACCACCTGTCGACGTCCTGTCAAATATGAACCAAACCAGTTCATATTTGTTCCTCTTATCCCATAATGACTAAAGAAAAAACTGAAATTTGTTCAATGATTTTTTATTTAGAAACTTGCACTAACAACAGAATATAACAAATTCAGCACTAAATAGTGCATGCAAAATCATAAATAAAATAACGACTCAAAGTTCTGTATGAAATATGAAGAATAGTAATTATATATTCGTGCTTTTGAAAACAATATAATACTAGTAAAAATGCTGGTTATGTAAAAACATCAATGTCTTATTCTAAGCAAGAGAAAACTGTTTTTTAATTCAGTAATGACATCAATGAGAAACAAAATTATGTATTAATTGGCGACATTATAAAATGGTTATTATCGATAATTGACTTCTAATGAACTACATTTCATAAACAATTCGCCGTTGTCATTTTTGGTAAAAATATTTGTGTCAGTTGTAAAATGTCATTTATTTTGTAATATGGACACAAAGAAACTTTAACTAAGGCTTATTTTGAAAGTAACTCTCAACCTAGGTTATTAAAAGCCATCATTTCAGTTATATTGAATCAGTTGCGAAAATTCCAAACATTATTGGTGAAGAATGGAAAAACCAATTATGTACAGGATGCTATTACCAAGAGTTCTCTGAAGAAAAAACCTTGTTGAATCCTATATTGATATGAAAACTGTACACAAGTTGTATAAAATTCATCCTTCATTAGTTTTGGGCAACGGTTTATAAATAAAATGTAGAAAATCAGAAGTCTGAGTTATTCAGAAATTGATCTAATCTAAAGGAAGAAGAATCAGTAACACTATGTTTTCGCGAATCATTTTCAAACCAGTTCATATCCAAAAATGCAGGAAAATGGATAGATATTTGATAAAAAAATCCTCGAAGGTTTCTAGGGCCTTTATTTTGGGATAATATTCGAATCACAGAAAAATTTGTTTTCTAAAAGTTTCAAAATCAATTCTGGTTGACCACTTCAAAACCGTCAGGATTCAGAGAAAAATGAGTTCAGTCTTCTATAAAAAAAATGTGTTTCCAAAGTTAATTCGTGAACACCTAGTATTTTATCCAAATCTGTATTTTCGGTACCCCATAAAAACCCAACTCAATACGGATAACTTTCATTATGAAATGGCAGTGTTTTTTCTAAACGACTCGTGGTGTTGGTTTAGGGAAACAATTCAAAATTACGAGTTAACTAACAATTATTATTATTTTTAGGCATCTCGTTAATCTCGACTAAGTAATTACACTATATTTACAACGATTTATTGAAAAATCATACTGGTTGATAGATTGAAGTTGGATCAAAGCTCAGGGTTGACTATTGGTGGTCTCAGCTTCACTCTAGAATAATTTATAGAACTAGAATAAATTCATGATTATCTCTTATGCTATTTACCAGTTGTACATACTAGGAAGGCAGGTAACTAATTATTTTTTTACATTAAGCTCAGTATTTCAAGAGAAATATGTTGATCCAAATGTTTTCGAAGGAAGAGTAAGTTTGATGAAACAAGAGGAATTATTACTTTTTTCTGCAACTGTTGAAACTGTTGAAAACGGAATTTGAAATTAAAATCAGAATGTTCTTGTATCAGAGGAAGAAAACCACCACATTACCAGCAGAACACCAACCTAGACTACTAACCTCATTATTTATCCCACAATTATATTCATAAAGTAGCTTCAATTGTATTATTCTGAGAAATAATGGGTGGAAATTAACCTCAGCTTGAGTAAAATACAGTGAAGTTCAACAAACATAATAATCCTCTTGTTTTATGCACTTACTCACATGTATTTTACACAACAAACATGTTCTAGATTATGAATCAGTCTGAAATGGTAATCATAGATACATATCACGTCGATCTTGCTTTCATAAAGTTTTTTTTTTTCAGAATACTACGTTTAGTAGATAGACTCAACTCTTGTTCACTCTACCTATCAATCTGTCTATCTTGTTTAGTATTTTGGAGAATGGCCCTCAAAGCAAGACGTTCCAGTTGTACAGAAAAAGCTACCAGAGATTTCTGCAGAATCAACCCCAAAAATTCATGCATGGTTATTTTTAAAAGCAGCTTGTTCTTGTTTGCTTTTTATTTAAGAATCCATCTGCTTAGTTTTACTACTTTGATCGTCTCATAACCTATGTTTGACATTCAGTCAGATGTCACATGTCATTTAATGACAATTGTTGAGTTCAAAATAAGTATGTTGTTTCATTTACATTTTTTCCTCCATGTGAAATAATTGAAATTTTCAACGTTTTGAAATCTCTGTAGACTCTGTCGACAAGAAAATTATTCTTATGCCAATCGGGCACATTCTGATCAATTTTTAATGAATCAAGAGGTGAAGTTACTATACAATCGAAGGGGGAGCCAATGGCCAATCCTTTAAAAGTTATCGATTATTAATAATATGGCAGGTGTATTTTTGAAGTTCATTAAAAAGTTATTTGAGAATCCAAAAAGAGTTTTTCATTTTCCATTTGATAGCGATAGCACTTCATGAAAATAAGCTCGGTATAATTGAATAGAATATTATAATAACATATTGCATTTTTGTATGGAATTTGATACTTTTTGTTAAGGGTAATTTTCTTTATTTGAGTAGTGGTATCAAAATTGCAGACGAGAAGAATTGCTTCCACAGGAAAGGTTTGAAACTTGACTTTCTAGAATGTATGGGAATCAATATACAGTGTGTCTCACTTCTCATGGAAACACCCCCGTATCTTCCGTAATATTCGAGGTAGAACGATGAAACTCTCGGTACTGATGGAAATGCTCAAAACGCACTTACCACCTGAATGGGGTTGGCCAAAGTGATATACACTGTCCGCCACTCGCGATGGAACACCCCATTTTTACGGTAAAACATATTAGGGGGCAAAATAGGCTCAAAATTCCTTCAGATTCGTGATCAGGACTACCAACTTACTACGATTACACTTTTGCTTTTGCTAGTTAATAAAAGTTTTGTATCCACTCCTTCCAGGTAGTTGAAACTAGAATAAAATGAATTACCTCATCGAACTATAGAACATAGTAATGTTATTAGAATATTGAATGGGCGACCATTTTTATACTACGATTTATCTTCAATCCAAAAAAAAGGGCTTCAGTTTCAATGATTATCATCTGCGCTGAATTTCTTATCAGCCAGCATTCTCTTGAGGTCTGAGAACAGGAAAAAGTCGCTAGAGGCTAGATCTGGAGAATACGGTGGATGTGGAAGCAATTTGAAGCCCAGTTCCTGCAATTTTGCCATCGTTTTTATTGATTTGTGGTAGGGTGGATTATCTTAATGAAGCAGCACTTTCTTATTCTTCGAATGGGGCTGTTTTTCCGCGCTGTAGTTGATGGCCAATTATTTCCTCATTTTATCGATTCAAGGGAAATAATTAGACAAAATAACATTGTACTTCAGTGAAAATAATAGGTCGCTTCCAGAGTAAAAAATACCAAATTCCATACTCGTGGTAACTACAAACCGTCATAACCATGCAGGAAATCCCTACAACAATATCCATTGAAAAATAAGAATATCGAAATGAATCAGTAGCGTCCTAAAAATTACAGTTGATAACATCATTAAATTTACGATCTAAAAATAAAAACTTCTCCAAATCGGTCAACAGTAACACAACAATATTTGGTAAAAAATCACTGGACCCAGGAGGCGGGCACCCACAAGGGCTCAGTTTCTAGCCGGTTGGCCGCCGCCAGGAGTTGCCTGAAGGCGACTGCCAAATCGGCGTTAACAATGGTCTCGTCGAAAAAGTGTTCATACAGAAATTCTATCCGTGCCGCGGACTTCATGATGTCGTTGAATTCTTCTTCCTGGAATGGTAAAACAGGCATCAGGCGCCAGTTTTGGCTTTGTATCAATCAATTTCAAACTTTTTATACTCTAAAAAAACTACGATACAGAACAAAAGGTTCAACCTGTATGAAGAGCCGGCTTAGTTTGGTCTTCCTGGTGTCGTTGTTGTGGATACCCTTCAAACCACCAGTGCCATAGATAAAAAACGTTTTTGAAGTTGTCCATCTTGCAAAAGCATTCATTATGGTGTCTCAGGAACTATTGCTAAAGAAATCTTAAGTGGACAGAAATACGGGAATTTGTGAACGATATTTTAATCATTATAATCCAATATGTCAAGTTGGAGGACACCTGAATAAAATGGGGATGTATAATGAGGACCTTAACAGCAGTAAGTCTAACAAAGTAAAAGAGACAGTTTGTCTTCATAGAAGGAAAGCAATTAATGGACAGCCCAAATTACGTAGGAAGAATATGACAAAGGTCCAAGAAAGAACATGTTGAAACTAGTAAAGTGCCGTTAAAACGAAATTGCTATGTCTTGAGGAAACCTGTCCATTAGTCACCTTACTCAGACGCACCAAAAAAGTCTCCCCTTCTAAATAACATTAGTGAAGGTTCCTACTTTGATGGATGGTTACTATTATTGATGGCGAATTGTTTTATATCAACCGTGTTATTTATCAAAAAGACTCAACTTCCGTTTGTGTTAGTGATTAGTGCTTTAATTATTTTCCTAACCATTATAGCACTAATATAGTCGATGTATCAGATGAATATTTCCACTATAGTGAAAATAATATAGCCAACGAACAAATTCGACGTAATGAAATAATTAATAAAGAGTTTATTGACATTGTTTTCGAAATAACAACGCCAATATCGTCTATTAAACTACTGTTGTTGTTTGTTTGTTTGTTCATCGAGCTTTTGGAGCACTATTACACTTTCTGTTAACTGGGGGGGGGGAACCTTAATTCATATATTCAGAATCTCTTGTGCGGACTGTATAAAACATTATTATATTTCTACGTGCCATTATCGGTAGACTTATCATTATTCACCACATTATGACTATCGATCTGGATTAACAACTAACTTTAAGTAAATGAATTCGTCTTTAATAGAATCGCCAAGCATTTTTCTTATTAAGTAAACTAAATTATCACTTATCATTTCGAATATGTAGGTATACTTTCTCACACTTATCCATTCAATTTTGAATTACTGAGTAATATACTGGGGAAAATTGTATCTACTAGAATAAACGGCTCCTATATTATTTTTGAATGATCATTTGAAGGAATGAGATATATTATACAATCACAATTGAAGTATATAATGTACATGTATATACAATTTGAATTCGTTTTTTTATTCTAGTACTTTTATGTGTTGAATTAAGGTACGTTTATATTTTGTTCATATACATTTTCTGTTCTACTATTGACGTCTCCTATATCAATGTAAAATGATTATTTTAAGGAACAAAATATATTGTTCAATCACATTAATGTATATAATGCATATGTATATACAATTTCAGTTTGTTTTTTCTTATTCGAGTAGTTTTATGTATTGAATTGAGATACGTTTATAACTTGTTCATATATTTGAAGGATCCTGTATCATCCTAAAAGGATTATTCACAGAAATGAAGTATATTGTACAATTACAATTAATTTATATGTATATACAATTTTCGTTTATTTTTTCATTTGGGTACTTTTGTGTGTTAAATTGATGAACGTTTATACTTTGTGCATATACATTTTCTGTTTTACTATTGACAGCTCCTATACCAGCATAAAATGATTATTTCAAGTAATAAATTATATTGTTCAATCACAATAAATGTATATAATATACATGTATATAAAATTCCAATTTATTTTTTCATTCGAGTACTTTCATGTGCTGAATTAAGGTACGTTTACATTTTGTTCATATACATTTTCTGTTTTACTATTGACGTCTCCTACATCATTGTAAAATGATTATTTTAAGGAACAAAATATATTGTGCAATCGCAATAATGTATATAATGCATATGTATATACAATTTCAGTTTGTTTTTTCTTATTCGAGTACTTTTATGTGTTAAATTTAGGTACGTTTATACCTTGTTCATATACATTTTCTGTTTTACTATTGACGTTTCCTACATCATTGTAAAATGATTATTTGAAGGAACAAAATATAGTGTGCAATCACAATAATGTATATAATGCATATGTGTATACAATTTCAATTTGTTTTTGCTTATTCGAGTTCTTTTTCTTCTTGTTCTTCTTTATTCTTGTTCATATACGTTTTCTGTTTTACTATTGACGGCTCCTCTATCATTGTAAAATGAGTATTCGAAGGAATGAAATACATTGTATAATTACAATTATTGTATATACTGTATATACACACATTGGAAAAGTCTAGGGATATTTTTTAAAATGGCAATAATTTTTTTTAGATCGCTTTAGGGAAAAAAAGTTGACGGGTGATTATTAAACGAATGTAACTTACAACAAAATTTATTAAATGGTCAAAAATACTGAGTGCGCATATAAGCAAAACTAAAAAAAANGCCCCCTTTGAAAGTTTATAGCTTACCGTAAACCCCCTAGAGTTATTAACATCAAACGTCGACCTCGCATGGTAGGCATTCCTCGTTTCTTTCAGTACTTCGAGACTAGGCGGTTTTATATAAATAACGTATGGCTTCAGCTGAGGCGTTCGTAGCATCTTCAATGCTTGGTAATGAGGGTTGAGGATGCATACGTTTCCATTGTTAACTATTGTCTTCACTCCTTCGGCTGAGGTGCCGTAAAGGTTGCCTTTATATTCTCCAAACTCGATGAACTTGCCCGCCTCGATATCTTCCTCCATCTGCTCTCTCGGGATGAAAAAGTACTCCTTGCCGTTCTCTTCTCCGGGTTTCATAGGACGGGATGTGTCTAAGGAAGCGAATTTTCATTTTCACAATGACACCACTGAAGTCGGTAATATAAAGGATTTCATAAAATCTATCGAAACTTACACGGTGTGGGAGTTTTATACTTGTGCGGATCAGTGTCGATGAGCCGCCTCTTCAACTCGTTCCTTCCAATACCCGGCGCTCCGATGAGAACGATGGGTCGATAGATGCCAGGTCTGGGGTATAGTTTGGCCACTTCCTCGTAGGTGGCGATGTGCTCCCTATCAAAGTCGTCGTTTTCTGCTGTATCATATATAATCTTTTTAGTTTTAGGTTTGGATGCACAACGCGGGGATTTCGGAAACTGACTGCAGGTAATAGCGGGCAAAGCTGAAACAGAGCAGAGCCCTACGGCACGAAATGGATTGTTAGTAATGGGTGTGACCTCGTGAGGTGATCGAGCATGCGTGGTGATGAAATGCAGGTGCGTGGGTGAGAAGTCTAATGAAAAGCTGATTTATGGCTCTTGGTGTGACATAAAGATAGTAACTGTTTCTTTGTACATTTACTCCTAAACAAAATTGAACTTCTTCATACGTTTACATTGAATATTGCAAATATGTACTCAATAATCCATAATTGAACTTGAGTCTCTGTAGTCCGCAACAAATGGATGTTTGTTCTTCATCAATAGATATTATCAAGACTTGACTTCACAGCTAATTTGTTTTCAAGAAATTCCTTTTGTTATGTGCTATCTTAAACTTGTCAAATTTGCTTTTTTCCAAAATCTCTAGAATAAATTCAAAAAATGTCAAAGAAAAATGTGACAGTGGGGAGTTTCACTATTTTTCTGGCTTGAAGGCTGTCGATTTTTGGAATTTCCTCCTGACGTTTCGTTGGGGCGACTGGCTAGCTTCTTCAGAGATTTATACCATATTCGCAGCTTTCTCTTTTCTGTTGAAATTATCCGTGTGTTTGTGGATCTCTATTGTCCACTGTACCACTCAGCTCAGCAATGGTATTCTTGGTTGGGGGCAATCGTGTTTCCAAAGAGAATCCTGTGTTTTCCTTCACTGATTTCGTGTTCCACTTCAGCCGACTTGTCCGTTTGGCCTAGTCTGCAGTTTCTTCCATGTTCCCTTAGCCTTGTTTCCATGGATCTTATGGTGGTTCCCATTGATTTTGAGACAAGAGTAAAGTACTTTTATTTTGAAAAATCTCGGGAAATGTTATTCAGAAAAGTTGTTCAGCATTGAAAAAGTTGTCCCTTTGGCCTAGTCTGCAGTTTCTTCCATGTTCCTTTAGCCTTCTTTCCATGGATCTTATGGTGGTTCCCATTGATTTTGAGACAAGAGTAAAGTACTTTTATCTTGAAAAATCTCGGGAAATGTTATTTAGAAAAGTTGTTCAGCATTGAAAAAGTTATCCGTTTGGCCTAGTCTGCAGTTTCTTCCATGTTCCTTTAGCCTTGTTTCCATGGATCTTATGGTGGTTCCCATTGATTTTGAGACAAGAAAAAAGTATTTTTATTTTGAAAAATCTCGGGAAATGTTATTAAGAAAAGTTGTTCAGCATTGAAAAAGTTGTCCGTTTGGCCTAGTCTGCAGTTTCTTCCATGATCCTTCAGCCTTGTTTCCATGGATCTTATGGTGGTTCCCATTGATTTTGATACAAGAAAAAAGTACTTTTATTTTGAAAAATTTCGGGAAGTGTTATTTAGAAAAGTTGTTCAGCATTAAAAAATATATCTAGACTTCATGTCACGGCCATCTAAGCGAAGTTTTATTTTTATACCCATTTTTTTAAATGAGGACTACGAAAAAAAATTTTGCTGAAACGAAAAATAGACAGCATCCTGTATATAACGATTTATCTTGAAAGCCTGTAATATTACGAATTACACAACTATGCTGTTAGCTACGGTCAATTTTTTTGAGGAGTGAAATAATTTTCAAAGTTTTTGGTGCAAAGTTATTTTTATTTTTTGCTGACACGGAAAATTACTCAAAATTATACTGTATTGTAAAAAGAACTTAATATTCAATAATATTAAATCACAAAACATCAAAATAAAATAGATATTTTGAAACAAACTCATTGATTTTTTGGAGATTTTCTTGTCCAAAATAATTCTGTATAAAAATAGGTTAAAATATTTTTTAATAAAGAACGCCTTCTTCAGCACTAAAGAATTCCTGCACTGTGATATGAGTTCTTTAACCATATAGACATTTGTCGTTGTTTTATAATACACAATTTTAAATTTTACTGCTTTGTTTTTAAATGTGCTCGTCGATATAACTCAGATGATAAATATTTTTTACAAAAAACCTTGTTCTTTGAATTTTAAGCATCTTTAGTTTATGTAAATATTAATAGATCCCTGACATATGCTGATTTTGTTAATATTTATATATTGACTTGTATAAATACTGATGAATGTATAAAACACCAATAAATTATCTATCTATCTATCTGTCTATCTATCTATCTATACCCCTGCAGCTGATAGTATGTCTTTTTTGTTTCTGTCCGACTTGAGGCTCTGTTGTATCTTCTTGGTGAGTTTGAAAACCGTTTTATTGTTGTGTTTCCTCAAGAGTTTTCCAATTATGCTTTGTTGATCTCAGATACACTGTATCCAATCGATCTCAAAGTCACTTGACGATGTTCTAGTTCTTCCTCTAGATCAGGGGTCTCCAAACTTTGAAGCCTTCGAGCCATAATGATTTTTTCAGTTTGTTCCAAGGGCCAATTTCTGCCCTTAACTATATTTCTAGACTAGGATAGTCGCAAAGTGCGTGACCTAAGCAAACTTACGCT